AGGCACACTGCCACAGAGACCAAAAAAATCAGGGAGTTAGAAGACAGTTACTGGAATCAGTGCACAATTATGAGCCTCCCCTACATTCTTTCTGTCACAAGTTTATGTGATGGTTATACTGAAAAAGTAGAACTCAATAAAGCTAATTTATAAAGCATCTGTATTCTTCCCATTTCCCTTACTGCCTGCTCAAATGTGCTTGTAGTTTGGTTCTTTTCTTCGAACTGAAGGAAATGTTGGCAGATCCTAAAGCTCTTAGATAATTAAAAGTCCTTTGGTCACATCTTGCCATAAGAATTGTCTCATTTCCATAATTGAAATGTCAAGTCCTGTGTAATAGTCAATATTCTGAGCTTCCGTTGACGTTAAAGCTTTTTACCTCCCTGAGAGTGGTCTGTTTCAGACTTGGAGAGCTGTAATAGAAAAGGGAGCACACTAACCGTTTTTTCTTCTTTTCATTGTGTATCTTCTCTCGCCCTTCCTCTAATTTGGTAGCCATTGTTTATGAACTCTTTCGGTCTAAGTAAGCAGAAACATCAGAAGAAAAAAAAATAAGAAAAGTCTTACCTGAGAGGTATCACTCTCATCTGACTTTAATATCCTGCTTGGTAGGTATTTAAACCTGACTCTTCACTTGTCTTCAAGGATTATTTGGTGATCTCTGGCCTCTACGTTTCTTAACAAACTTGACGCCTTTCTTCTGTATGGCCATTAAAGAACTACTTCCCACTCCTGCCAAAGTACTGATTTTGATAGTATGCTTCCAGCTTATTTCTATCGAGGTCTCATTCTCTAGGTTTAAAGCCCTCTTAGGTCAGAGTATTGAAGGAAGTTCCCTTCAGGTATTGTAGTAGGCTGAATAGTGGTTTCCAAAAGATATCAATGTTCAAATCTCCGGAACATGTAAATATGTTATCATACATGGTTAAAGGGACTTTGCAGATGTTATTACGGATTCTGAGATGAAGGTATTATCCAGGATTATCTAGAAGGGCTTGATATAATCACAAATGTCCTTTTAGGAAGAAGGTAGGAGAACAGAGGTAAGAGAAGGTAGTGTGACAATAGAAGTAGAGATTGGAGTGATGCCAAGGGATTCTGGCGGTCTCTAAATCAAGAAAAGATAGTAACTGATTATTTCATGGATCCCTCAGAAGGAACTGACTCTGAAAACAACTCAAAATTATCCCTGTGAGACTCATTTTGGACCTCTTAACTCCAGAATGGTTAGATAATAAATTTCTGTTGTTTTAAGTCACTAAGATTGTGGTAATTTCTCAGAATCAATAGGAAGCAAATACATTATCCAAAAGAGATACTAATCATTTATGTGGACAAATTCTGAGAGTATAGGTTGCTGTCAGTGAACTATCCTTTTTTCACCATATGGTATTGTAAGACAAATTAGTCAGAAAAAACTCTTGCCCTTTATATTTCTGAGTTAGATACAAGGCTCCTGTGACCTCCAAATGGTGGACGACAAAAAGTAAGCTTTCCTCAAGCCAAGTCACTTGGCTTGGGATGAAAGGAGGACAAGGAAAAGTAATATTACAAGAAACCAACAACACCTATTTATGAAAGAGACTGTTTCTTTCCAATTTCTAACCCGTTTTCCAACTCAACTCTTTCTGTCTGAAGTGAATATTACACTAAGAGTTGCAAAACAGGATTTGTACACCTCCTTCAAAATTCTTGCATTGGTGGTCAAGAACCTCACTTTGGAATGTAGGCATACTTCCAAACTATTACTATATATATTTGATTTCTCCTACTTTTGAGGTAGAAGATTACACAAGATTTTTCTTCTATTTTTGAGGTGGAAGATGATACAAGTTGAAAGAGCCCTAGTTTAATGTCTTTATACTTGTTAAAGCCTAGTTGTCATCTTAGGGGTGAGCAGAGCAGGGTGTAGGATGGAGAGAACATTTTAGAGACTGAATTTACCGAAAGACATTGAATTACATAAAGAGTTTAAATTGTAAACTAATACATTCCTTTGGAAAGACATCTGGAGAACACTTAAAGAACTAAAAATAGACCTGCCATTTGATC